CACCATAGCCAAGATAAACGCATTTCTGTGAGTGAAAAGCAAACTTATGTTTCTGATAGGGTCTAAGGCAAGGGAAGCACGCACAACCAAAGGTTTTAAGTTGTTTAAAATCAAAGTCCTTATCAAACAGAGTTTTGTAAGGTGATTTATTGTCTAGGACTGATGTAGGCAATCTGTTAATCAGGAAGGTGGCTGCTTTGAAGGATTCCCACCAATAGTAAAGTGGCATTTTGGCCTGAGATAGAAGTGTTAACCCAGTCTCAGTGATATGTCTATGTTTGCGTTCAGCGCTACCGTTTTGCACTGATGTATAGGGACAAGAGTGCCTAAGTTCAATACCACATTCAAGAGCCAATTTACTGAAGTTTCTGAACTCACCCCCCAATCGGATTGTAGAGTTTTAATTTTCCTGTCAAGTTTATTTTCTACCAGAGTTTTGAACTGAGAGAAAATGGTCAGAGTTTCTGATTTATGTTTCATGGGATAGATCCATGTATACCGGCTATGATCATCCACAAAGATTACATAGTACCTAAAACCTGAAGTTGAATTCAAAGGGGCTGGTCCCCAGACGTCTGAATGGATGAGTTCAAGTGGATTCACAGCATGAGATGATGAAGTATTAAAGGGAAGAGCATGAGATTTACGAATTTTGCAAGAATCACAGAAAAAAGGAATTTCATTAGATTTAAATTTTTTATTACAAGACTTAAGGACTTGACTCAAGACATGATTTGAAGGATGTCCAAGCCTTCTGTGCCAAAGATCTAACTCTAGAACTGAAGTTTGATAAACTGAAAACAGGTTGTCATGACTAGGTTGGGTTGTATAACACTGATAGCTATTCTGATGAAGTGGGTTGAGAGAGGTATTTTCTGGCTTGAGAGTTGGCAACTGCAGTTCATACAATCTGTCCTTAAGCATTCCCTGCAGCAAGATCCTCTTCGTCTGGAGGTCCTTCACAAGACAGCAATTAGCATAGAATTCCATGAAAACTCTGTTGTCATTAGTTAACTGTGATACACTGATCAAGTTTCTTTTAATCGATGGAACATGCAGTAGTTTATTTAGTTCAAGTGTTTTGTTATTTAGAGCAGAAATTCTACCTTTACCAGTGTGAGCAATATGTAATCTACTTCCATTACCAACTACCAGTTTTTCTTTCCCTTCATATTCCCTTATAGTATTTAATTTACCTTTGTCTGATGTCACGTGGTTGCTGGCACCAGAATCAACAAACCAAGCTGGGTCTTCCAGCACTTTTGGTGAAGCTACAAAGGCTGATGGTGCTGGATTGTAATTTTGCTGTCCAAAGGCATTGATTTTTCCTCCCATATACCTCTCATCGTACCTGTTGTAGCACCAGCTTGCATAATGGTTACTCAGGCCACAAATTTGACAAGGACCTCTGTTTTCACTATGTCTTCCAGTTATGTTTCTGCCTCTGCCCCTTGTTCTTCCTCTGAGGCTTGCAAATCTCCCACCATTAGTGCCTCTAAAACTTCTGCCAGCACTTGAACTAGCTCTATGTGCGAACTGTATACTTGACTGACTAACAGTGAGTGAG